TTCGTAAACAAGGGAGTGCAAAACCTATTTACTGAACGGGGTATCATACACCAAACCACAGTGCCATATACTCCCGAACAAAATGGAAAATCAGAACGGGAAAATAGAACGCTGGTCGAGGCTGCAAGAACAATGTTATGTGCAAAAGGTTTGCCAAAGAAGTTATGGGCAGAAGCAGTTCAAACAGCGGCATATGTATTAAACAGGACAAGTAAAAGCAATGAACCCGGGAAAACACCATTCGAGGTATGGACCAACAAGTATTTTGATATAAATTATTTAAAAATATTTGGAACCCCTGTTTTTGTCCACATCCCAAAAGAAAAAAGAAGAAAATGGGATGCTAAAGGAGAGAAAGGAATAATGGTGGGTTATGGAGAGGACGTTAAGGGCTATAGAGTATTCTTTGAAAATAAAAACTGTGTGGAAATAAAGAGAGACATAGTCTTCCTGGAACGACCTAAAACTAAGACAGAGCAGTTGGAGGTATTGGAACATGACTCGGATAGACTCAAAGAGACTGATGAGGATCAAGGGTCTAAAGAACAGTTGGTATACTCAAACAAAAGTGTAGAGCAGGTAGAATCCAGTGAGGGTGATCAGCAGTCTACGCAGTTAGAAGAAACTGTGGATATATCTACAGGAAGTGACGGAAGTGAGTATATTCCAAGTTTCAATGACGACAGCTCCGATGATGAAGAAGGTGAAACATCACAATGCCGGCGAAGTACCCGGGTCAGGAAGCAAACCTCATTCTATAAGTGTCATTATGTTTCTACTGAAGATAATGAGCCCAAGACGTATCAAGAGGCCATGCAAAGGCAAGATGCCAGAAAATGGCAAGAAGCCATAGCGAGAGAGCTGCAAACACTGAATGAAAACAAAACCTGGGACTTCTGTGAAAAACCTGTGAGTGAAAAGATTGTAAGTAGTAAGTGGGTATTCAAAGTTAAAAACACAAATGGCAGTACTCAATATAAAGCTAGACTTGTGGCTAGGGGCTTTGAACAAAATGATCTGTTAGATTCCTATGAAGTTTATGCTCCTGTGGCTAATTTGGCTACCTTTAGACTGTTTGTGTCAATTGCAACTAAGCTAAACTTACCCATCTATCAGATGGATGTAACAGGTGCATTTTTATATGGGAATATTGATGAAGTTGTTTATTTACAATTACCTGAGGGCGCCTATAGCGGGCATAACAACACTGTTAAGCTGAATAAGTCATTATATGGTTTAAAGAAATCACCCAAGTACTGGAACGATAAATTTAACTCAGTGGTTATGAGCCAAGGTTTTGTAAGATCCCAAAGTGATACTTGTTTATATTTAAAACATACTAATAGTGGCAATACCTATGCTTTACTGTATGTTGACGACTTATTGATTTTTGGTAACAATGAAAATGAAATTTCTGACCTAAAAACGTTGTTAAACTCTGAATTTAAAATGAAAGACTTGGGATTAATATCATACTTTTTAGGCATACGAGTAGAACAGGATTTAAAAAATAAAGTCACCAAATTGAGTCAAAAACAATATTTAGAATCTTTATTACACAAATTTGAAATGTATAATTGTAAAGGTATGTCTACCCCTATGGACTTTAATTTTAATGTAAAAATATTAGAGGAAAATTGTAACTCTGTAATTGATAAAAATATTGAAAACAAATGTAGAAAAATCATTGGTATGCTGTCCTATGCAGCATTAGGGACGAGACCAGACATCTGTGTAGCAGTGTCCATTCTAAGCAGATACCAAAATAAAGCAAACAACATGTTATTAACGGCTTTGAAAAGAGTTTTAAGATATATTAAGAGTACTATGAATTACTGTCTAATATATAAGTGCAATAATGATATGTTAATTGGTTATTGTGATGCTAACTGGGGGGGAGATTTAAAAAATAGAAAGTCTACAACCGGTTATTGTTTTATGTTTTCAAATTGTTTGATATCATGGTGCTCAAAGAGGCAAGCGAGTGTTAGTCTGTCATCTACGGAGTCGGAGTACATAGCAATCAGTATGGCTGCGGCAGATGCTTGTTGGCTTATAAATTTATTATATGATTTTAAAATAGAGAATCTCTGCCCTGTAGTAATGTTCAGTGATAATCAGAGTGCCATAATGGTTGCTAACACTGACTGTGTTAAGCGTCTTAAACACATAGATATAAGGTTCCATTATATTAAAGAGTTAATTAGACGGGGTAAACTAGTGTTAAAATATATAAAAACTGAAGATCAGATTGCAGATATGTTCACAAAAGCAATAAATAAAAATTTGTTACATAAATTCATAAATATGTGTAACATGTTAGAAGATTGAATTTGTTATGTTAGTCTCAGTTTATCTAGATCGGTTTAAAGAGTAGGTGAGTATTATATTGAGGGGGGGTGTTGGTATAAGTCAATATAATACTCTGACAACACTGGTTCTTTTCTTTATAGAAAAAGGTATATAGTCTGTATAGTTCTCTATGATCTGAATCACTGCGCTCTGTACTGAATGTGTAACGTTATATTATAATAAAACTGCAAGTCTTTTCACAAAACTCGTTTAACTTTAATAATCCTACATGACTATATAAATAACGTTGTTCATACTCTTTTTTTTAATTTTGTCTGTTTAATTAAAATTAACAAAAAAGTGATACAGAAATCAATATTTTGTATCTCACCTCTACGAAATAATATTCACATACTACAAATTACATTGATTAGAATACATACGATATTCAAAATACCCAGTTCAAAACGCAGCAAGTGTTTATACTTAGTATTGGTATTGGTTGTGGGCTTCGGTTTCCGTATTTAGACTCAACAATGGTCCTTTATGCACAAGGACAGGTTGGCTAGGTTGAGCCAACAAAGCTCCTTCCAGAAGCGCATAAGCCTCCTAGGGCGTTCACAGGCTTCAAGGAACGATTTTGTATCAGGAATGATACTTGCCCGTTGTGTGTCCACTCCCATGCATTCCAGGAATACATGGTCGGCTGTATTTTCTGCTTTCAGACATCCTCTGCGCAGAGGACTGTCTATCGCATTAATGGCGAATAGTTGTCGGTTAAGGGCTAGTTGACCTATTGTAGTTTCTACAACTATTTGGATTTCTAGTCTACTAGGTGAGTCGTGGTGTAACTTCAGTCAGAACCAGTTTGGACTGTCTGCAGGCAATGAATTAAAGGGCACACCCTTTAATTCATTGGAGTAGTACCCGATTTAATGTGGCAAGCTGCTCCAATGTCATCGTGTTGCCCTCTAGTGCCTTTAGGACAACCATGCTGTCGGACAGTATGCGGATGTTATAGTCCTTAATACCCCTTGACAGGCCAAAACAGTGTGTTGCCTTTTGGCTCAACTACCAGGATCCCTACAACCTACCTTACGGGTTCCCGCAAACGACACAAACATGCGGGTGGTTGTCCCCGTCCCCCCTCACCCTTAGTCTTAGTCAGTTGATGGTAAGTCCGCAGTCACCAACCACTTAGTGCCCGCAGAAGGTGCCAATAGGAAAATGGGAAGGAATGGATTCGATGGGATAGAACTACGCCTGGGTGTTTCAGATTTTTTTGAAGTTTATCAAAAATTTTAAATTCTATCTTGCTGAAATTTGCCATAAATCCCACTTTCCACGCGGTATTTTGCAATTTGCAAAAAAAACTATTCAACCAATCGGGACTACAAATCTCATTTTATTCGTCTTTTTATTGTAAATTTTTCATATATTTACACTTTCTTTGTACGACTTGAAGTTTTCTTGTAAACCGCGATAAGCCGTTTTTGACAGTTTTTGTGATTTTTTTTACAATGTTCCCATTAACGGATCCGCGTTGAAATAAAATATATTAACCGTAACGTTGTCAACTAAGGGATAAAAAAAAGAAAATGGAGGTTATCAATTTTATTCGCGTATTCGCCAATTCTAATTTCAAGTTCGGTACATATTGGTCTTATTTTAAAATTTGACCACTACTTTCCTGGTATAGACACCCAAAAGTATAGCACAAAAATAACTCCATACTTTTGATTGAATTTCAATAAAAATAGAAATTAAATTTATAAGTTATTAAGTACCGTTACCTTAAAAACATTAAATTCGTTTTTATTATTGACTACTTTTTATTTCAACATGAATACTTTTTATATCAAGCTCGCAGAAAATCCATAAAGCGACAAGATTACGATTGGCCTGCTGCTGGAAGAAAATAAACGCGATTAAAAATAGAACATGTAGTTTTAAAATCAAATAAACGTCAATCTGCTAAACGTAGGTATCGACCGGGACACATCACGTTCTTATAATAATAAATAGACAATGATAATATTATAATCAGTGAATTATCTAAATTCTAGTTCATTGGCTTCAAAACGTACCAACCATTGGGATATATTGAAGTATCTAGTATCGTTATTGTTCAATTAGTATATCTATAGTTTTTATATACCTACTTGTGCAATGGACAGCAGTGACATATTGATAGCGCTTAATTTAATTTATGTGCAAACAAGAAACTGCCTGATTCGTTCCTGGGACCTTCCAGAAGGCTTGCTGTACAATCTTCGTAAACCATTTAGTAAGTTAATAATCACTTATGTAGCAGCTCATTTGAAAAGTTAGATATAACACTATTAAGGAAATCAGTTGCTTATTTGAAATGTTAGTAATAAAAGATATTTAGGCATGCAATTTAAAGTTCAATGTAATAGTAACTCCGTTTTACAGAATCTTGCGAAGCTCTATGATGGTTGACTTGGAGTTACCTGTTACCGAAATAGTTTTACCTTTAGACGAACCGGCAATTTATGGTAATTTTTATTGCTCCTACTACTTAATAATATTTATTTTATGAAAAAAATATTAGGTTACTAAAACCAAAAATTCAAAATTGAACCCATTTTTGCTATTGGCAGTGACATGACACTTTTAAACTTCGAATGTTTTGATTTGGTTGGTACATTGTTGATTGTCATTCATCGATGACACAAGTAAAAAAAATGGCGGCGCTTGGAATGTGTGAAACGCCCGGCTGCAAATCTATTGCTCAGTTACAGTGTCCTACGTGTATAAAACTCGGTATACAGGGCTCGTTTTTCTGTAACCAAGACTGTTTTAAACAATCTTGGAAGGCTCATAAAATTATTCATTCTTTAGCGAGTAAGTGTGTTTGAGGTTATGTTGCGGTATTAGGTTACAGAAGATTATATGAATAAAGTGTAATTTTGTTTTAGAGGGTGAAACTACAGATGGGTCCAATGTGGAATATAACCCTTGGCCGTCTTACAATTTCACTGGGAAGTTAAGGCCTTATCCGGCCGGACCTAAGCGCACGGTACCGCCTCATATTGGTCGCCCTGATTATGCTGATCATCCGACTGGATTTCCTGCATCGGAGAATGCTGCTAAGGGTTCTGGACAGATCAAAGTGCTGGATGATGAAGAAATCGAAGGTATGCGCGTGGCTTGTCGTCTAGGTAGAGAAGTCCTGGACGAGGCTGCCAAGTAAGTAAACAAATCATAAAAATGTTACCTAGTGTTAATAATACTAGTATTTCATAATTGTACATTTAAACTGCCTAGATTTGTCATACCTACCCTAGTAGCCAAAACACCAAAAATGTAAATACCCATATCTTTGTGTTTCACTTCATAATGTGATCCTCAGATCAATATGTAAATGCTGTGTGAAATACTTTTATTTCAATTTGTTCCTAACAATATCCTGTAAGACAGTATGCAGTGCAATATTTTGCATGCAGTCTTGCTATAAAATCATGCCTTCTTAGTGTGGCAGAAGATTATTTGTATGTATAAGAATATTGCAAGTCATATTGTTGTTTCCTCTGGTGATTTACCAGCGATTGTTGCTCAACATTGTAGCTAGTGTACAGGATAAATGTTTGAGCCATACTTGTTTAAATACATTGATGTGATATAAATTTTACTAAATAGACAGAATTACTGTTAAAAATATTGTAGCTACATTTTGCTGTAAAAATGTGCTCATTTAAGCAGGCACATCCTAAATCTATAATTTCAAAATATGTACTGTATATTTATCTGATTGACATTGTTGACAACTTACTTTGAAAGCAACTTCTTATTCTTGAAAACATGTGCATCAATATTCAACAAGAATTCCCAGTTATAAAAAAATGTGTGTCACATTATGAAGTTTGTGGTTGGAAAGTTGAAGAGAACTTTGAGAGTTGTATTATTACAGCTTGGCATCAAATTTTAATGTGAGGACTGCATTTTCAGAGTCTGTGATGTAGGAGTAACTACTGATGAAATTGACCGTGTTGTACATGAAGCTTGTATTGAGCGGGAATGTTATCCAAGTCCGCTGAACTATCACAATTTCCCTAACAGTTGCTGTACTTCAGTCAATGAGGTTATCTGTCATGGAATACCTGATTTACGCCCTTTACAGGTAAATATCAAATAGATTTACTTTGGTGGTATACAAAATGATTTTAAAATCATACTCATAGGGTAATCTCTTACATGTAGTATGAATTCTCAAGCTTCTACAGAACCTGCCATTTTTATTTTATGAAGAAACTGATTTCACTTCACATTATCTGCCTATAGTTGTTTTATTAATATGTGAGAAACTCTCCCCCTTGTCATATCTTATCACAAATTATGTACTCCCTGACTTTGACAACACTGCTTAAGTTGTTTTGATGTACACAATAAAAATGATTGTTAGCAGGATACACTAGTAGTAGTGCTGTAGATTATGAATAAGAAAGTTATTCTTAAAATTATTTTAATTTATTTCATATAGGGCTTGTTACTTGTAGTCCATTTAAGACATGGATATTCCCTGAGATATAACTCAGCTTCAACTTGACTTTGAGTTGGCAGCCATAAGGTTTAAAATTATCAGTTAATTCTATATGGTATCCCATGTATATCATATATGTATATACATGTTGCCTAGTCAAAGATTCACTTTAATAATACCTGAAAAGTAATACTACCTAAATAGTTACTTTTAATCTATTATTTTTGTAAATATTGTATATATGTACATTCAGTCAAAAAAGTTTTGGGCATGGATGATTTGTTTATGGTTCCAAATTCAAATTTTTTTTTTGTTGTTGTTAGATTGGCACAACTGTTTGCCATTTTATTGCAGAGTTTGAGTTGCATCTGTTATTTCTATTAAATACAGTGCTGTTTTGAGTTACATCGTATCTAGTGTGTATTGCGAATTTCATAATGGGCAAAAACATCAAACAAAATGTTTGTTTCAAATTTTGCATCGCCAATGGAATTGCGTGTTCGGAGTCACTGAAAATGTTACAGAAGGCTCACGGTGAATCGACTTTATCAAAAATACGTGCTTATGAGTGGTACAAAGCGTTCAAAAGCGGTAGAGATGTGATGGAAGATTTGCCTTGTTCTGGTAGGCCATCAACGTCTGCAACTAAAGTTAACATCGCAAAAGTGAAGGAAATAGTGACTGAAAATCCTCATTCAACTTTGAGAGAGATAGCCGCCGAACTTTCTGTATCTCACGAGTCGATCCATACTATTTTAACTAATCATTTGGGTATGAATGCTACTGCTCGAATTGTCCCAAAAGACCTGAATTTTCTCCAAAAACAATCTCATGAGTCGCTGAGGACATGCTAGAACGAGTCAATTCCGACCCAACATTCATGAAACGCATTGTTACTGGTGACGAGCTGGGTTTACGAGTTTGACATGCAAACTAGTCAACAAGCTTCGGAGTCGGCCGCCTTCCAACTCGAACCGAAACCGAAAAAACCACGCCAAAGTCGAACAAAAGTCAGTCATGTTGACTGTTTTCTTTGACTATCGCGCTGTTGTGCACTCGGAATTCTTGCCTGAGGGTCAAACGGTAAATAAAGAATATTATTTGAACGTTATGCGGCATTTAAGAGAGCAAATTCGCCGAAAAAGGCCAGATTTGTGGCAAGAAAATTATTGTAATTTGCACCACGATAATGCGCCCTCGCACAAGGCCACCATTGTGATCGAATTTTTGACCAACAAATACCATTGAGCAACCACCATATTCAGCAGATATGGCTCCACCCGACTTCTTTCTTTTTCCTAAACTCAAATTACCACTTCGTGGCACCCGTTTTCAATCGGTAGAAGACATGGTAGAGAATTCCCGGCGAGAACTGAACTCAATTCCGGAAACAGCGTTTAAAACATGTTTTGCTGAATCGATTATTCGTTGGAGTAAGTGTATCGTTTCTGAAGGGGCATAGTTTGGAGGTGATAAAATATTTTGGATGAAAAACAAACGTTTTGTGTATTATTGATCTTTTTCCGGTACTTTCTTGACAGAGTAGTATATATAACATTAAAGTTTACAAATCATCTTACTTCCCTCAATAATAATTATGCAATAGTGCCAGGAAAATTTAGATGTATCCAAGAGTAGTTTAGTAGTAGTATTTAAGTGCCATTAATTTTATTGGATATATTTTTAGGATGGAGACATATGCAATGTGGATGTCACTGTCTACCACCGAGAGTTCCATGGTGATCTGAATGAGACATTCTTTGTTGGTAATGTCTCAGAAAGTACTCGCAAACTTGTGCAAGTGACTTATGAATGCCTACAGAAAGCAATTGAGATAGTAAAACCTGGAGAGAAATACAGAGAAATAGGGAATATAATACAGAAACACGCTCAAGCTCACGGGCTCAGTGTTGTACGGTCATATTGTGGCCATGGAATCCACAGACTGTTCCACACCACTCCAAATGTTCCACATTATGCTAGTAAGTAACCTAACCTAACTAAAAATTCATGGTATAAACAAAAAAATTCTGTAGTTATAATACATAAACAACCAGTAGTTTAGATTTAGTCACTGATGAGAATTGCAAATTGTTTGAGGCAGTAGGCGAGTGACACTTTTTGTGAGCAATTGCTTTAGCATGGTTATAGATTTCTTAATGAACTATGAATGATTCTCAGTACAAATCTCTGTTCAGGAAGAAAGAATAGACATTATATTAGTCATGATCAGAAACAAAGAGCATTATGGTAAGTGAAAAGTGTGTATACTGATTAATATATTTGGATTTCTTAGTAAAATTTATGTCATCAACATCCTCTAACAGTCCACTGCTGGACATGGGTCTCTCCTTAGAAAGTAGGTTTAAAAGCACAATGGCAGGTCCCCATACATAATTTTATTTGAAGTGAAATGACAGCGTTTAAATATCAAAAATGCCTATAACCCTTGAGAATTTATTCTTGAACATTCTCATAAAAAAATTACTAGCGAAAGAAGTCTAGGAAAAAAGATATTGGATTTTGAATGTTTCGAGGTTAAGTACTAAAATATTGTAAATGTTTTGTTTGAAACTAGATGGCGTTGTGTGTCATATATTCTAGAATATTATTCATCATTATTATTACTTATAAGCAACCCTATTTTGCTGTAGAAAGTGTTAGCCGACTCTCTAAATGGGTGAAGGAAGGAAGGGTATTTGCTTGGCATGTATTGGTAAACAATAGAAAAAAATCTTCGCTTACATAGCAGGTGTAATACTAGCCATAAATACATAAATTATTAATAATCATTTGAATAAATGTACTTCAATACACATTTACACAATTTATTTTATTATTTAGTTATTCAACAGTCAGTAGTTATGACATTATTTACTAAAATCTAAAGCATGCATCCATTATATTGAGATTAATGCACAACATTTTAAGGCATCACATCATGCATAATGGAGTAACACTATATAAAATTAAAATAAACATATATGAGAGTTTAATACTAAACAAAAGTAAAACAACCAAATAAACTACGATTGCCTTGTGAGAAATGGTATGTAAGTCATGCGTGTAAGTGTCAAACGACAAGACTATAGTCCGTCAACGTCGTGCGCGACCGTCCTGCGGGGTGACAGATGGTGGCGGGGACGAGGTACTCACGATGTCAGCGGGTAGCGGGTGGTGTAGCGGTGTGTAGCCGTGTGCTAGAATGACGCGCTACCTCGCCCCCGCCACTGTCTGTCACCCCGCGGGACGGTCGCGCACGAGATTGCCGGGTTATAGTAAGTGCGACGACGACGTATCGACATTTTAAAAATATCGATGCATGTCTATTTATATTTATTTATTTATTTATTTTTAACTTTTTGCACAAGTACATGCATCGGCGGACTTAATGCCTAAGGCATTCTCTGCCAGTCGACCGATTGGGCGGTGCTGAGAAAGAATGAGGTAGGTGCATTTATGGTAGGGTATAAACGATAGTGGTTTTGTTAAATACCAACTATCTTGGAATTTGGTGTATACGTCGTAATACCACACACATACACATATATATACCTATACATACTCATAAATATATACATATATATATACATACACATACACATATACATATGAGAAAAATAAAAAAAATAAAAAATTTAGCCGATGAACTAGGAGCTCGTTGAATCTGCCATTTCGTTCAGCAATAGCTCTTTCACTTTCGTCTTAAAAGAGTACCGATTTGTAGCCATCCTGACTTCGTGAGGAAGCGCATTCCATAAGAGGACAGCCTGGACAAATATGCCGTTATCAACCTACAATGTCTTTTTCTCATCACACTAAGCAGTATATTGTTTTAGTATTTTTCTGTAGGAAAATAACGTAACTATATTCTATTTATTTTGGTGTAGCAATAATCTTTTAAAAAGAGTCAAAAATATTCTAAATTATTTCTAATTAGGTTGATTTAGTCACTACAGTACTAGTTACGGTAGCGTATGAGTAAACCCGTAGGCAGAAGCAAATTCATAATCATAATAGGTGAACCTTCGATAGATATTTAAGCCAAAGTTATAACAATCGCTTATCGATAAAACGTTCCATAATATAATAATGTCATTACGCATCTCTAGTCAGTTCGTGATGGCGATTCTGACATTACGTACTTAGGTCAAATAAAATCTTTAAAATATCCAATCTCTTATGAGACTTATACAACACATGGCGGTATAATGATAAATCATAGAAAAAATATTAAGTAAGTTCACTGTTAGTCAATTTTTTAAACGCTTCAGTTTTAGGTAAATATGTTTCTGCCATTGTTCTTTATGTATCTAATAATAAATATTATCACCAAACTAGCTGACCCGCGCAACTTCGTCTGCGTCTCTCAGTAGTAATAAATTTTCTCCGTTTTTGAAACATTCTTCATTGGTGCTCCGTTCCCATTGGTCTTAGCGTGATGATATATAGCCTATAGCCTTCCTCGATAAATGGGCTATCTAACACTGAAAGAATTTTTCAAATCGGAACAGTAGTTCCCGAGATTAGCGCTTTAAACAAACAAACTCTTCAGCTTTATAATATTAGTATAGAAGTATAGACTAACTGACCCTCGCAACTTCGTCTGCGTCTCTCAATAGTAATAAATTTTCTCCGTTTTAGAAACATTCTATTCATTGGTGCTCCGCTCCTATTGGTCTTAGCGTGATGATATATAGCCTATAGCCTTCCTCGATAAATTGGCTACCTAACACTGAAAGAATTTTTCAAATCGGACCAGTAGTTCCTGAGATTAGCGCGTTCAAACAAACAAACAAACAAACTTCAGTTTTATAATATTAGTATAGATAGCCAATTCAATAATATTTCAGAAAACAAAGCAGTAGGCGTGATGAAGCCAGGGCATTGCTTCACAATTGAGCCCATGATTAACGAAGGTGGTTGGCGCGACGAACAATGGCCTGATCACTGGACTGCTGTAACGGCTGATGGCTCACGATCTGCACAGGTTAATAACTCACAAATATTTTCTAAACATTTTACATAGCACTTATTTAGTAGACTGATATTATGCATAGCTGGTACTATCCCTTCGGTCCCCTTAGGGGTACTATGGGGTCTAGAATATATTTAAAAATACTAAAAGTACATTAAATAATTAATTGTTCCATTTTAATCTCTTCATTGTCTTATTACCTGTTAGTCCTTTTAGGCACACATCAAAACAGTGTTGTGGTATATTTCATAATGCAATTGTATCTATCTGTAAATTGAAAAAGAGTCATAAGGCTCAACCCCTCAGAAACGGGTAGTTGTAGATCGGCACAGGCATATAGATTTTGTATAAGTTTAATTTTTATTATATTTATTTGTTTACTATTTGACAAAACAGAGATTGTTGCTATTGTGTGTGTTGATCTATGACTTTAGTCATTCAAACAATTAAAAGAAATAAAGCGGTATTTACCAAAAAAAGTATGTATTTATATCAGTTTTCTAGTAGCCATAGAACAAGCTCTGCTTAGTTTGGGTAAAAAAAGAAATTAAGAGTCGCATATTTTTATTCACAAGCTAATCTCTTCTAGTTTGTGTTAAGAGCAATTTTACATTTTACCTTGTTTTTAGTAGATTACAAATCTTAGGTAGAGTAAGTTACGGAAAAGTTTTTACTTTTATAAAAACAGAAGAACTGATTCAAGAACACATTTAGTAATTCATTCCTTTTCCGTTTTTTTTTCTTTTGTTGCATCCAGATTTTGCCCCTCAATGCTCTTTAATTAGGGACTAGCTAGGTCCTTATTTGTGATTAATCTATTCAAATTCCACTTCTGTTAAGAATTTAACTTTATCAAACCAGGTTTTTGATCAGTTAAGTTCCTCCACTTACTACACATATACGCGTATACATATACGCATTACGCATATACATACTAGTATCATTATAGTTCAGTTAAAGTTGTTTATCCAAATTAAATATATATTTCAAATGTTTGCAGTTTGAACAAACTCTGCTGGTCACGGAGACTGGTTGTGACATCCTGACGAAGCGGGCTACCGGACGGCCTTGGTTCATGGACCAACTGGAGAAACTTAATGCTAAGTCCTAGTATCTCCTAATTATAGAATATCCACTGAGATTAACCTCTAGGCGCAAACACATCTTGCTATAGAGAAAGTAAAACAAAAATTCTAGTAGATATTACTGATAGTCTTTGTACAGTTATGAAATAACTGTTACGTATATTATGAAAGGTAGAGGCTATCAAAAAATAACTCAATATATAATATTAATTGATGCTGGGGCTGTCAGTGTCAAGTGTAGAAAAGTCCCATTGATTGTTATTCAACGAAAGGTGACATTCTCAGTTCTCTTACTATCAACTCTGTTTCACTAAGGTTTAACTCTACGCACAGGCCCATAACACTTTGTGCACCGATAGAATGATCAATGATTATTTTCATGCTGTAAGACTATGGTGAATAGTTTCATCATATTCTTAAATAAGTATTAAAGAGGCAATCAAAAATATTGAAATATGCCATCAAACTACCAATATGTGAATCCCCCAAATTTGAGCAGATGTCTGTCACCTTTACCCTAACACTTACTGTGTTCTTAATCTTTATTCTCGTTGAAGTTGAAGGCTATCTTATCTCATTGGCCCTTAAAACCTCATTTTGTTTTAAAATACTGTGGTTGCCAATTTGGGCAGTAAGAAGGTTCTTTAAACACTTCTATCTCAGGATACATGTGTTGACGTAATATATGAAAAAGTAAATTTCAAATAGAGTATCATGTTTTTATAGGTTTGAAAGTGCCCAAGAGACCAAAGCTACTATGACTTTGTACTGCCAATCCATAACTTAGTATTAGGAAAAGGTCTTTTTTTTGTGATTTGCAATCTCAGTGGATGTAACCACAATTATGGTTAACACTACATAATAGTGAAAAAAATTTTTTTTAAAGTTGCTGAGAAGCCAGATAAATTAAAATTGGCCTTGGATTTAATCTGAGACTGAAGTCTCAAGGTTTAATATAGATAATAATTATGCAGTTTTAAATTTTTTAATATTTTTTGTAAGGTTTCTGTACAGAAAATAAGTTTGCATGATAGTGTTTTGTTTATACTTATTTATGTAAGTGACTTACATTATAGATTCATTTCATTATAAAGAATTTACTATGAATACATCATGGATTGATTTGCAAAGTTATGTTATTTGTTATTTAAAAATACAATTATTATTATTAACTACATCACTACAGATGAAATGCAAATGTTTACTTCCAATAAGTAAAAACAAAAAAGTTTTGTTCTTGTGTATTTATTATTGAAGCTAATTTCAAAAATATATTAAGTGACATTTTCTAAATTTAGACAATGGTATTTCTATTCTATTAGATTATTGGTAACAAGAGAGTAGTCGATGTTTTCTTGCTTGTGTAGAATAAGAAACTAAACAAATTGACAGTATATTTTATTCACGATGTACATCTTCCCTTAAATTAACATTCAGCAAGGTCTGTCAGAACATACAATTACTGTTAGCAATAGATATATTTAAAGCATTATTTGTTTGAATAAGCTATACAGCTTTCATCTAGTAGTTTTAGTAGTCTACATAGTGATATCACAAAACGTCGTGAGTGCTAGCACTATAGCCAACAACAGCCTATTATAACAAAGTCTTAAGTGAGAAATTTATTGGACAAAAGAATCTCCTATCTTTGTTGTTTTAAGACCTATACAATTTTCTCTCTCAATTCTCTCTGTATTACCGCCGTATCCTTAATAAAAAATGACACGGTGATAACATTAATAGTTGCCCTTATGTGCAATGTTCCCCTAATTATTGTTTTATATCGCGGTTGAGGTTAGACTAAGGTAATTTAATATTTGTCAAATGAAAATGAAATTTTGTAAATTGTAATGGCAGTAAAAATAAAACTATTAAAAAATATATTTATTTTATTTGAATAACAATTTGGCATTTATAACAATAAATAACAACTATTCTAATAATAACTTAACTTAGCACTTAAGAATAATTTACCCCATTTTTTAATTTATCGGATTTTTACTTTGCCTGAAAGAATAGTAAACGAAAACAAATAAGGGTGATTGTTGTTATTTACATATTTCTTGAACCTAATTATTGCTGTACATCCTATTTGGTAAACCATCATCGTGCCCTATATTATTGAGTGCTTCCTGGCTGTCAAACTTTGTAACTTAATGTTTGTAAAATTATATGGCAGCCAAATTTTAATGATCCTGCTATAGTAATCCAATTTTCGTGAGCCTGTAGGCATTAAAAATCTAAATGTACTTCCGAACAGAAAGAAAATCTTACATTGTAACTGAATCGTTCATTTGAAAAACCTCAAGTCGCACAAGGTTTATCAGAAATCAAGAAATTTTGGCAAAAAAATTATGCAATGAACTTCTTTAACGCGGTATTATTAGAAGAGGGAGGAATGTATTGACTTACGTGGTTTATACCCAGAATACGCATCTAGTTTTAAGAACACATTTTCAGCGAAAAAAACATGTTGGAAAAAAGTGACTTAAGAGGTTTTTGAAATGACCGTATCAATTATTGACGATTTTTGGATCTAAATAAGCTCTAAATCGAACAAAATCAACAATCCATTGGTCATTAGTTTCTTAGTGGGTTCTTTTAGGATCTCTTGACAAGTTCGTGTAGTAATTGATACACGATACAGTAAACGCGGCACCCAAGTCCAAAAGACTGTCTTTGCTAGGTCGATTAGGTAGACTCGCTTTAGGCATAAATAAAAAAATCACAACCATGAAACAAATACGAGTAGCACCGATCGGGAAAGTACGGGCGTAGTAAAACACAACATTTACCGATTAAAGTAACTTTCTGATATGCTCGATTGTGGACGATTACAGGATGGATCGTACGCGTTATAAAAATGCTTTTTAAAGCATAAATTGTATTGCAAGCTAATGTGCTCTTGATTGCACAGTAGGGACATAGTTACAGGATCCTATTTCTATTTAAATAAAACTGGTTGGTGACCTGAGTGAAGGCATTGGCATCCTCGGTGGAGAAGAACAGACATACCTACATTAAGTACATACCTACTTTTTGTCTGAGATATTATTACGCAATGGAGAATACACATTTCCTTATCAACTTTTGTTAATAGAGGTTAAAATTTGTAATCAGTCATCGTAGTCTTCAAACAATGGTATATAATCATCACTCCTTTGTTTTAATTTTAAACCAAATTGAGTCCCTTGGTTTGCGTCGGATCCTTGGGTCTTTGCAGTCGATTTAACTGTGGCCCCTTTCCAGCTTTCGGCCAAGTCTCGTTTGATTATGCTGTCTTTGTTTGGCTTTAGAGTTGATAGTTTTGCTATTATAGCGTCTTTCTGTGAATTAAAAAAAAAACACCTTTGGTTATTTTTAGTGATGAAAATGTAACTACATATGTGCTGATACGCCAATCTGTACAGCTTTGGAATGTTTAAAATGCATTAGCAATGAAGTAATCTTGTCTAGTTGATTTAGACAACCAAATTGGCAAAAAAGTCATGTATTTATTAAGTGAGAGGCAGATTATCCTACAGTAAATGATTAATTAGGAATATAAATCTAAGTATAACTAAATCGAAAAAAACATTGTATTTCGTTACATGGTCTTTGTTTATATCTATCTATGTTCAAATTAATAAATTAGCGCCACTGGTGCAAGTGAAGTTTATATACAAACTAGTTGAGTCACAAAGCGACGGGGTGTTATAAGTTTGACGTGTCTGTGTTTGTATGTCTGTCTCTGGCATCGTAGCTCCCGAACGAAAGAACCGATTTTGATTTGTTTTTTTTTTGTTTGGAAGGTGAATTAGTCGGGAGTGTTCTTAGCTATGTTTGATGAAAATCGGTCCAAGGTCCCACAAAATGGCGGATTACATATTTTTTCACAACTCCCTCAATCAAATGAAAGAGCTTGACTAGTAGAATAATATACACTACGACAAATTTCAAATCCAAGATGTGTGTGGGAGGTTTTTTAAATTTCTAATTATTGGTCTTAGCAATTAGTCGTTACTAGCAATTATATTTTCACTGTAGAATGTCGGTGAAAACTGACACTGAAACCAGAATTAAATGTTAAGTTCACTACAAAGTCAGTTTTAACAAATATACATCCCAGTGAATACAATTATGTCAAACTGATGTCAGAATGACGTCATGCTACGTTATGATATACGTAAGCTATATCATATGTGACTCATAATGACGTAAATCTGACATCATTATCCCTTATTTGGCGTCAGAATGACAGCTCTGTTATAGAGAAGTAAAGTTGCTGACGTACATTTAGCTGATGTCTAGATGACAAATTTGATGTAATATAGTGATGTAAAATTCTTTAGTAAAATAAATCTTTAGTAAAAGGCGATTTATACGTTATGAAAGGAAACCGAGGTTACATAAGAGCGCCGTAATAAATCTGCATGAGTAACGAAAACATATCTTCTTATATTATACGAAATCTTGTTTTTGATAATAATTTAATAAGAATATAAATTTATAATATTATTTTATTGAAGAGAATGTTGAAGTTTAATGAGAAGGAAAACTGGAAACAAACCCTATACCAACCCGTCTTGCCAGCGTGGTATAGTAGGCCGAACCCTCCTTTCTAAGGAGAGGCCTATGTCCATCAGTGGACTAATGAAGGCTGTTGATGAAGAGAATGTGATACCTTGAACATATTGAAATGTACAAATATTAAATGTCATGTTCAATCTCGAACATCATTAAGTAATAAAAATTGTCTTTATTTTTAGAGTGTAGGTATTTGTATCTTTGTCTATCTCGTTTATTAGGTTTATTTATTGGGTAAAAAAAAAAATTACCTGCGAGGGAGTGTCGACATAACTAGCGTATATCCTTAAAATTGGCTCACCAGTTTTATCATCAAATGTTAATTTACTCTTAGCAGGAATTTTAGCTTTAACCACTGTCACTTCTGGTATTGATGCCGTATTAGACGCACTTGAGATATTGTTTGAGCCTGCTATTGCGAATAATCTGATAGGAGCTCTCTTGGATATAAGACTTTTTTTTTCTTTGTTAAAATCTTGATCTTCACTAATGGTTGCCTCAACAATTTGCCCAGCATACACAGCCCCTTCTTCGTTTACCTTGGACTGCTTATCATCTGGCCTTAATAAAGTGGAAGCTACATTTACGGGCTTCAATTCAGTTGTCGTTTTATTTTCAGATTTGTCTTCACTTTTAACAAAATCAGCTTTCAAATCCGGAATTGTCGTCGTCGTCGTCGTCGTGGTTTTATCTTCAGTCGTTTTTGTTGGTGTTGCTTCTGAAGCTTTTTCTTGTGCCATGGCTGCTGCAGCTCTAACATCGTTAATAGCTGAGTAAAATCCATTAGCTATAACACTGCCAACGCTTTGTCCAACTTGTGCGTAGTAAATAGGAGTCGTGTTCTGTTCTTCAGTATTTGTTTCAATACCATATTTTATCGTAGTAGTAAGCGGTTGTGAGTCCACTGCTACTGGCTCTAGGGTAATGTTCTGTGGTTGCTGTGGTGTGGTTTCTTCAATTTGCTTGACCGTTGTATTTAGAGCAGTAAACGCCTGGGGACTCAAAGTCACAACAGTAGATTCTTGAGTTTCTATTTCTTCACTTTGTTTTGGTACGTGTATTGCGAGGGGCTTATCCAGCTGTTCATTTTCAAGTGAAACTATTTGTGGGTGATTTTGTGAAGCTTGTTGTTGAGGTTGTAAATGGCCCTGGTATGTCATGTCTGGAGCGTATGGAATGAATTCTAGGGCAGGGAACCTCTGCATCAGTTGACCTTGAAGTTTTTGTAAAAACATTGGATCCGATTGATAAAGTGCATCTGGAGGAACAAAGATTTCTTCTGTGCCCGTGTGTATTAAGTCTTGGGGTGACGGAAGATTGTTGAAATTCTGAAACATAACATTTGTGTATTTGAAGCGAGAATATCTGTAAACCTTTAAAATGCATTAAGTACCTTCCTGAATAACGTACCTGCATATGGAATTGCTGTGGTGCAAGTCGATGATGTTGGTTGAAGCTAAGTGATGGAAAAGAATATTCTGCTCCACCATTTCTTATCAAATTTTGTAGCGCCGGCCTTGTAAAATACTATAGTAAAAAGACAAATTTAATGGTTATTTTACTTAGTTTTTATAATAATTATAATTCTCCTTTAAAGAGAAACCTTCCATACTAACTTTTTTTTTTGAAAATCCAACAGGTGGTTGTATTTTGGCTGTGTTATATTCACCGTCAGGGTATTTCTCGGTGACCTCGTATGATGGCTTTGCCTAAAGTATAAAAAATATATTAGGTATCGGTCACACCTACATATTTCGTAAGTGGTTTAACCTTATAAAGATAAATATTTGTCAACAAAAGTAATAAATGCAAACGATGTTTTTATTCTGAGAACATCAATATATATATATATATATATTATATATATAGTTATGTTGACGACTGGATGGCGTAGTGGTTTGTGTAACGGACTGATATTCCAAACGTTGCGGGTTCGATTCCCGGTTAAGTCAAACATTTGTGTGTATAATATGTAATGCAAAAGCATTAAGCTATATCAAATTAAAAACATAAATTTACATTAGACTGACCTTTTCTGAAATGGGATTTACCGACGTTTCGAGTACGACGATCGGCTTCTCTGACAGGCCGAGGTTGGGTGCTGGTATTGTGTGAATCGCACCTGATGGTCATACAGAGCTGAACCGAGTGCTTCGACCACAACGGACAATGTTAAAACGTATGTCTCTCTTCAGAGGCATGTTACGAAAATTGACAGAAAACTAAACCAATTTCGAAGAATCTTAAGAAGATTACTTATATGTTAAAGTAACATGAAAATTCTGCCGTAACAAAAAAGTTGTCTACTCTACTATTTATCACAATTTGACATTTCTGCTATTTTTTGTGTAAGATCCTTTAATTTTTTTTAGGATTTAATATTTTTTTAATATTTCCTTTTATCATTGTCTCATTGTGGACGTTAGTAACATTACATTTGTGCATGTTGTGCACTGAATATCAGACTAAAGAAAAAAAAAAACGATAAGACATCATATGTCATCAGTCCCATAACCAACAGTTAATAAATTCTATTCCGATTTCCGATTTCGAAATATACCCACATCTAAAATAATCCCATTGAACTAGGCAACTTTATTAACTAAGTAACTAACTTACATATTTAATAGACATGCACAACCTTAGTGTAATCTATAAGTAGATATTTAAAAGTAGATAAATAACACACCAGAAAATAATAGTTGCCAATTACTATTAGTTCATGCGTTTGCAAACATTATAAGCAGTATGTAAGCCAGAAATTTAACGACTCAGGTGCAAATAAGTAATATTGATAAACAGTGTAAATCGTTATGTTTAGAATGAGAAAATAATTAATTTTCAAGTCAATTTCATCGCTGTGCCATGACTTGCCTGCGTACTTTCATTATATTTGTATATACTTAATAGAAATAAAGAAAGAAATTTGTGCTGTGCACTTATTAGTCAACCTGTACCACCGTCACTGTCTAACAAGAACTGCGCAGCAGACGCAGGCTTCACGAACTCGTACTGGGAAGTGAAGGAAGACATCGCTGGCAGTCGTGCCGTGGTCTTCCATGGACTATGCGTGAAAATATTCCGGTGCGAAGAAGGACCATAGTGCTTTATGACATACCTGGAATATGTGACGTATTATTAATATTAAATGGTCTTTAACTATGAAGTTGAAGATTTAATTATTTGTGGACTGGCTCGCAATTTAAAATTCAAATAAATTTCATTTGAAAGCCATGTTATTTTAATTTAAAATTCAGTCATTTGTTTTAGGTACTGTTTTGTTTTTGTGAGATTGTGGTAGTTTTTACGTGGAAACACCGCTGCGCAAGCAACACAAAACATGTACAACGACGTTTACGTGCCTAACACTGTTCGCATAAACGCGGTCCATTACGGTTTCAATCGTTTTAGATCTTGAAATTGTGAGTCGAAGAACGAGCCTGGCGGTCGGCCGATAACTACAGTCGACAACGACGAATTGAAGGCGATAATGAAAGCGGATCCAACTCAATCTGCGGGCTTTGGAGTTGGTGTCAAAACAATAATGAAGCACTTGCGTCAAATCGAAAATATAAAAAAGATAGATAAGCGATAATGAGCGAAACTCCACAGAAACGAGGGAATTCTGAATCGAATTGTTAACTGCCATGAAAAGTGGATCCTGTATGACAACCGTAAGTGATCGTCTTAGTGGGTGGACCCGGGTACCTAACCATAGGAAGATGATGGTGACCCAATGGCACAACAGTGACGGCGAAGAGTGTTGGAGAAGCTCGCAATTCAACAACCACGACTGGTCAATCGCTCTTCCCCATTGCTTCTCCACGATAACGCGGCAGCTCACACTTCACGACAGGCCATCGCAAAGCCGCAAAAGTTGCAGCTAAAAGCTTTCCACTACCCACCGTACTCGCCGGATATTTCCCGAACAGATTTCTACTTTTTTCAAAATTCAGTCAATTTTTAAGTGGGAAAAATTCAACACCCGAAAAGCAAAAAAAAACAGAAAGAAAGCAGTACAAAACACTTTTGCTGACTTCATCGTCTCCCGTCCAATAGACTTCTACAGTAAAGGGATAAACAAACTGCCATAAAATAACAAAATTTTATAGATAGTTTGGGCCAGTAGGCTACTTTGATTATCTAAAATAAACAAAATGTTTGTTAAAATTTTTGTACAAATCTCCAACTTTATAGGTAAAGACCTAATATTATTAGTCGGGGTGTCACAGATTCAAAAAACATCTTTTGTCGATTCTAGATCGCGGGAAGAAATCGTTTTTCATCGTGGACACTTGGGTATTAGATTGGTATTAGGATTGTTAAGCAATTTGGAGACCACGTTTTTTAAAAATACTTAATACCTACGTTAAATCATCAACTGAACAACTTTTCTATTCAACTTTTATCAACAATGCTTTATTTCCGAGACATTGCGAGATAACTGAAAAAAAACGGTTTTCAAAGTTATTTTGCAACAACCTACCCAGATTTTACATAGATTTTCGCGAAAATTTGTAAGTATCAATAGGTTTTCGACCCAAAACCTATAGGGAACTTCCGGTTGACCTAGAGTTGTCAATTTTGGTTAAAAGCAAGGTCTTACAGCACAATCAAAGAGAAAATTCGGAAAAATAAAAAAGTTGAAAATTAAGGTAAATCTTGGTACTTACAAGTTTTCGCGAAAATCGAAATTTGCCAATATCTTTTTATCGTGTAGACTCAGGACCTTGATTTTTATACACCTAATAGGGACCATAGACCTCAGTATCTGTTATAAATTTCAACTTACTAGGTCTACCCGTTACTGAGAAAATCGGTGGTGACACACAGACAAGAATGTGATCTTATTAGGGTTCCTTTTTTACCTTTTGAGGTACGGAACCCTAAAAAGTATCAATGTCTCTAGTTGTTAAAATTATTGATTTAAATTATTTCTGCTATGTACCTAAGTTAAAAAATATTGATGTTCCTCAATAATGTGTTGTTCTTTTTATACCTCCACTGCTTAATATATGCACTCCACTTCTGCAAATATGCAAACTAACAAATAAGGTTTTATATATTTCTTTTTGATAAAATGATAATTTCTATTTGTAATTTGAATAAATAAAAATAAAAGCCGGTTAGAAAAAACTATCAAATCTTAAACAATAAAATGTTGCTTACCGTTGGGGTTGGTTTCTGTATAAAACGTATGGAGCTCGATCAGACGCGACCGTTGGGAATCGCATGGACCCATAAGTCCAAGGTCTCTGTACGGTCTGAAGGCTCTGCAAGTTGACTCCGGGTCTGAACGCTGTGGGAGACCGCACTCTATTCACAGCGGTGATGCGATTACTTGGAGACAACCGGCTGATGTAGACGGCGTGTGTGAGAAAACATAATGCTAGGTAGATAATGAGGACCTGTCGAAGAAATCAAAGAATAGTCATTTGATTTAAATAAATAATACTGTTCTTTCATAAGTGGACAGTGTGTGGATAGACACATTTATTCGAGTGGAGCCGCGAGAGCAGCTAGAGCAGGAACTAGTATAAATATCATCAATTACTCAGTTACAAGACTACATTCCGTATTTGTAAGGCACCGGGGAAAGATGTCGGACGACCGGTCAGGTTATTTCTAACGCGGGAAAATCGTTCTCGGTAAACGTTCTAAATGTTAGACGTTAATACAAAGGTATTGCAGTTGTAATGTATCTCTAACTTTTCATATTTTATAAGTATATTATATTTTATTTTATATATACAATAATATATTTTATTTTTAACACAGCATTCATGAAATATTATTGAAATTTGTGATTTGATATTGATGCACACTAGTGATAATTGTTAGGTGTTATGTCGTTTGTGATTTAACTTAACTAATACAAACAAGATTTCCCAATTTGATTGCATTTGTTTTAATGTTCAAAATCTCAGAACCGGATAACTTGGAAAGTTCTTTTTTTATAAGGATATGCAAATTTGAAAAAAAAAACTTGGCAAAATGAACAAATAGAGAACATAGTTTATATATAATTACAATTCATGTTGGAGTGAGCGATACTGTTTTAGAAACTAATGGCAAAAATAGAAATCTACAGATAGGTACTTAGGTAGGTACATTTTGAATTACCAATAAGATTCAATGAAGAAAAGATAAAGAAATAACTAGTTAACTCCTTTCTAAGTTAGCTAAGTTAGACCACCGACATTAGAACTTCAAAGATAGGAACCTCCTCACTATGCGGGCCGTGTCAAGGAGGACTGCCGTCTGCATCAGATCCTGAGCAGACCCTACGTGATCAGATACGACTATCGGAACAATGATCACTGAATCGACATTCCACATATCGACAATCTCGTGAGATAAATCCAAATATTTTATTTGTGTTTCTTTTCCAACTTTCACGAGACAACAACAAAGTGGCCTGACCATTCTCGAGAACTGGGTCGGGCACATACCTGTAGTATGGCACCTCTAGATTCACAAGATGGTATTTAAGGGCAAGCTGTTGGTGTACGATCCTGGCTACTTGGTTGTGCCTGTGCAAAAATTCACCGTTAGCAATCAGAAATAATTATTGCTTTACATGCTCCTGTAATGAGTTTCTGATAGTTTCTATTACATCGTCTACAAATATGTATTTTTAAAGGAACACGCTTAATACGTTTTTGGTAATTACCGGTCTCAATAACCTGGTCTTGAATCGCTTGCATGAGTATTTGGAAACATGGGCATAGTTTTCCACTACTTAACCATGCGTTCGATACAATCTTATCGACAGTAGCTTTTTGTGTAGTTCGTGATGATGTCTTCCGTGTAGCGACATGTTTCAATTTTCGTTTGTACGCCAGTCGGCTTTCATTGTTTTGTACATCATCTTCAAACATAACATAACATAACAAAATTAGGAGGAGTTAACGAGTTAAGGAGTTAATCTTCGGTCATTAAACACTATTGCTATATGTAAGGTGCATTCGTTACTTTTTGCTCAGACGTATGCTCTTAAACTCCTGATATCTATAATACTCCTTCCTTCTTCTTGTATTAGCCGTTTTATATACATATATACTATTTATTTATATATATTTTTTTATTTATACTATTATTACGTCCTATTGTTGCGAGATAGGATTGAGTGGTTCTTGTTTATCTGGAGGACGTATTTATATAGACATTGTCATTTTCATTGTTTTATAGTGATTTCTTGTGAGTAATAGTGAGTGTTTGTAAAAACAGTGCAATAAAAGTAATTAACCGACAACTTTTATGTATTGTATACCCCGCTCGTAACACCTTGTTTTGTCATCGTATAATCCGTTGAAAATTTTGCAGTATTTGTCCACTTTATAATGCCAAAAGATTAATTAAGTAAGGATTGGAATTACGAATGTGTTAATAGCTTTCACGCTATTTAAGGCGTATAGTTGTGAATTTAATATAGAGTTGAGCCTGTGTATATTACAATGATTTCACTACACATTTATGTACGTGTAGTTTGTGAGATTCCTGCACTTAGTACATCTGAAGTGTCTTATATACTATGAACATTTCATAGTATATAAGACACTTCAGATGTACAGACAGTACAGTACAGATGTACAGTGTTATAAGTGTTAGAAGGAACGTTAACACGGTCTAACTTTTCAGCTTATAGACGCTGATTTAAATTCTTTGCTACGTAGACGTAAATGTAGTATCTATGCCTGACGATGGCTATTACGATTATACGAGTATATGCGAACACGACTCAAAGTGAAATAATGTCACGGATGGATGCGGGCGAAATCGAGCGGTTCAGTATACTTAGTACGATGCTTTAATCATTCAAATGAAACATTCTTTAGATGTATATGATAATGTTAAAATGTTCATTCACATGTTGTCCATGTTTTGACTATTTCCTTTTTTTATACACAAGTCTGTTTAGAAGGCAACCAACATGACAGGAGCCTGTTTGATGGTAAACATTAGTGTTTGAAATTGTATATCGAAACCCGCAGGGATATCGAAAAAGACGTGATGCAATTGTTTTTATGGGAATAGAAATTAAATTCAAAATACATAAATAGACATGTAAATAGATAAGAGATCTTCATGTATACTAACCGGGACGGAACTGTGCACTGAGCGGGAATCGATCCTATGGTTCGCAGCGTAAAATGTTCATCTATTTTTTTTCAAATATTGTGCTATATCCCGATATCTATCTCTCCGTACACACTTGTAGTGGCGTCTGTAGTAATCACTCTAATAAAAATAGCTTGCTCATGTTCTACGATTGTTATTAATTATATTAAAAATGATATGCAAGACAGCAATGGACATTATGCCATATTCCTTGCCAAAGTTAAAATTAATTAATTACTAAGCTACTTAAGGGTAATTATTCGGGAAGACCGTAACGAGTACTTATAGAACTCTTAGTCAGTAGGATTGGCAGAGCTACATAAGTGAAGAGGAAATAGTTGCCAGAAAACAATTTTAGTTTGATATGTATACCAGGAACCGCTACCAAAAAAACTATACTGACACCACTCAGCAACTATTTCAGAGGTGCAGTTTAATAGTGAAACAGGCATTGATATAATACAATCTAAATTTCTAATCAGAGGAACGTGAAAAAATGTACCTAAACTTACAGTTCATGGAATTCTGTAAGGAATTTTGGTATAATACCCATGCGTAAACAGCACGAAATAGGTTATTAACATTTAAAGACGATCCAGTTCATTACTATTACTTATTTTTTATAATTAAACCAAAGTTTCGTAGTAAACTCGGTTGCTTGTCTAAACAGCTTTTCAATAAACAGCTGCAAAATGTATTATTTTAAATGTGTTTTCAAATCCTAATCTATTGTAACAATTTAATCTAATTCTTCAAACCTTGCTGAAACGTTCTAATGAATTTATTCCCTACACTTTATGGAACACTGACTGTATGAACTGCAAAGAAAACTGAGCACTAGGGACACATTAATGGCAAGATGCATAAAGTACTTCTAAAATTGTAGGAAGTGGAACAAGTTGCCAGCAACATCGGCGATTTAGCCCTCAATGTTATAGATTTACTACATAATTTATAGATTTGCCGTAATCTTGAAAGCGAAAACACTATCTATGAAGGATAGATGTAGGAAACCTAATATCATGTACAGTAATGATAGGAAGGAGTTATCTAGATATTTCTTTACCTTTTCCTTTTTAAATCTTATTGGTAATTTACATTGTACCTGATTTTACCTACCTATCTGTTGGTATTTATAATTTGTAACTGTATGTAAATTGTGTTAGTTTGATGGGTATGGATTTGCAATATGGATGGCTGAAGTATTATGGAACATTCGATTTTGATCATTTGATGTCCTTAAATGACTGAAAACATTAATTATTAGTATTTATTTTGCTAGTATTTTATATTTTAATGAATTAAATTACTTCAGTAGTTCACTTTAAATTTACGACTTGGTTCTTTTCTTTATCGTTGCGGGGAACAAGTTACTACTTAGGGTAAACTTGAAATAGTAGATGTCTTTAAAAAATCCTTAAGAACTCATCATTAGAATAAAAGACAGTTAAGAAATACCCCTCTGAAATTATCTTATCTCTAAATACATTAAAATATTTAAAGAATTCAAGAATTTTTGTATAAGGTAATATATGTGCCTCAGTGGTGTAGGTGTAGCGTATGTGCTGTGGTCTCGGGTTCGATTTCCGGGTCGGACCAAATGTTTGTCTGATCTGCGAATATTTGTTTCGAAGTCTATGTGTTTTCTATGTATGATATGTATGTATTTAGAAAAAAAAAGTATTCTGTTATTCAATCTGGCTTTCATAGTACAAGCTCTTTGAAATAGTTTGTCTTTCAAGTAGTTTGAAACTAGATGGCGTTGTGTCAGATGTCCGAATATATTTAATCATAAATTCTGGTGTTAAAATAAATCTTGACGAATAAAATTTTAAAATTCCGCTATTTGTACTCATACAAAGTTAAAAAAAAATATCAATTATTCTTTACAATCACTTATAAGGTGCTTTTTTATCGCGAGTACTTTTTGAGTTTTATATCAATATTTATAAATAACTAGCTGTACCTTGCCACCATGTGGTTGCATTGATAAGATTGAGAATCAAAACTGACACGACTGAAACTGACTGAAAAATAGATAAAAACTATCTTTAAAAACTAACATAACATTTTTTTGGATTTATATAGGTTTGAAGTTACCGGTTAAACCTTTTTACTTATCAAAAACTTTTTACTCATATATATATATACGAGTATATATAACTTTAAGTGTTATATTCTTGTTTGTAGAATATAACACAGTTATTAAATAGCTGTTCAGCAATTGCAGTGCGTTAAATAAAGCAGAACGTTAACGGTATGCTGTACTCTAATTGCTGCGAAGCCG